TCCTTATCCAGAAGCAAACTTCTCCTCCTTCCAAAAAGCTATAGTGTAAATACTTGAAGGTTTCCTTGCCTCAAGTACCACACCACGTTGAAGGATACAACTTTTGATCAAACTTATTGATTGAAAGGGGGTAGGTCAACTTTCTTACAAGTTGGTCTTGCAAGTCCTATTGTTCGGACCTTGCAGTTGTTGAAGAAGCATGACCTTCGAAGGAACAACAAGGCCAGCACGAGTGCAGTAGCAACATTGGCCTTGCGAAGATATACCATGCAGAAATTCACACAAGTGTAATTGTTGGTTCATTTTTCAACAACCAACTACATAGTGGATTTTGAGGACGTAGAAGGATTACCCCACCTTCGAACCTCGTTAAAGTTTGCGTGTCTCTTTCTTTTATCTTTATTCTTACATGCAATTATATTAACTGTGAAAACTAACCCATCCATATTGATTACTGCTCACTCTACCCACCAACTTCCGCACACAATCTAAAGTTCACAAGAACTCTAGATTAACACTCGTTTTCACGTTTTCAAAAGAAACGAAAAAGTTTTAAATTTGTAACAAAGTCTATTCACCCCCCCTCTAGACTTTGTATCTCACCACTTCGGGACCACCAGTTGGTATCAGAGCTTGTTTCTCACTATCTACTTTTAGATTAACGAGAAGCGATCATAATGGTGAACAATATGGATCACGGTTTGCCCAAGTTTTCTCTTCTAGGTTATGATGATTGGAAGATCATGATGGAAGCACATCTCTACGCTCTACGTGATTGCATGTGGATGGTGCTTGAGGATGGACCCTTGAAAATCCAAATGGAGAACCCTGAGAGGAATCCAGCTGCTCCAGATGTAGTTCAGTACATTCCAAAGCCCAAGGAAAAATGGGATGATAGAGATTGCAAAAAGCACAATCTGGACAACGTCGCCAAAGCAGCCATCTTCAAGACACTTGATCCCATCACCTTCTCCAAGACTAAGCATCTCAAGACTGCCATGGAGATTTGGCAAGGTCTTGGGAAGCTATGTGAGGGATCAGAGGACCTGAGAAAGCAGAAGATAGAAGTCCTGCTTGAGAAGTTCAAAAGCTTCAAAATGCTTCCCGGAGAATCATTTGATATGTTGGATGAAAGATTCCACAAGATATTGAATGATCTTGCTTCACTTAACCACATT